TCAACAATAGTTGCAAGCGAACCAGAGACATCAAAAAATTGCAGCAGCGCCCGAGAAGCGAACCCGGAAAGGTCGTGGTATCAATCGGATGCTCTGAGCATTTTTTCCAGAAGTTAGCAGTTGGGAATTGTTGAGAGCGGGATCTGGTTATGGGGCTATTAGGGGGGGACTACAGGGGGCTGCGTGAGAGAATCAAAATAACACTGGCGTGGCGCTGGTCAAAAGAGTCAGATCAATTGTCAATAAAATTTACTAAACACCTTGAGTAATTAAAATTAATTAAATTCAAATTCAGAAGAAATGATGATCAAAAGAACGTAATGCGAAGTTCTGCGAAAATCGCGTAAACTCACTTGAACGGTCAAGATGTTGGTGAGAGCGATTATCAGATCGCGAGGTGGCAGGTGTGAATCATCGCGATGGTTTATTACACGTGCCCATCAAGTGGCGTCTCAGGTGTCAGAGGTGAAAGGCCACTAGTGATCTGAAGCGAGGGATGTGAACAGCTGACTGGGTTAAGAGCATTGGCTGTGTGCATGCGTGAGAATTCGCTGGAAAATCGAACACGAATGTTAAAGGAACAGACAGTTGTGTGTGAATTGGAATGTTGATTCGAAAGCTTGCCCAGAGGTTTGCACTGTGTGGCCTACATATTGACTTGAGAAAAAACAAAATTGGCAATAATTATTTATGATACCAAGAATATACTTACATACAAAAGCGTAGATGAGATTAAACTAAGGCTAACGGTAGTAGCCATGCGCCTAACGGCTTTGGATGCTTTCAATATTTGTTTGTGAGCCTACCTCTCGTCATATCCCCCCATGCCTTGCTGACCAGGATTTGTGCTTTCCCTTCCAGATTGTGTGTATGTTTGGTATGTCTGTTCTTCATTGTAAACTTGAATCCTAGGTATTTAACTTCGTTTATTACTTCTGGTCGTTTTTCCTGATAGTCCCACTTTACTGCCTTTCTCTCTCAAGTCGCATTCAATGTCCTTCTAACTCCCGTTAGATTACCTCCGCTTGCCTTCCCACTGTTGTGTATCCTTAGTGCTGCCTCCCCAAAGCACTCGAACTGTTTATCCAGCTTTTTTATCATTATATTCATTGCCTTCGCCTTTAAGTGCGTCTCCTGGAACATGACTACATCCAACGTTCCCCATAGATTTGTATTTTTTTTATATTAGCTGCACTATCCACATTTCAGTATAGAACCTTGAGTGGTCTGAGGGTGTTATTTCCGTTGCTAGTGTGTTCTTTGGAAGGACCTCCTTGTGTTTATCTGGCTCCTCTCCTTTTTCTGCCTCAAATCTCTTTCCAGTTCAACCTCTTCCAACCAGGCCACATCCAACTCAGAGGCTATTGTAAGCTGTCCTTGCTTTCCACCCCTTCCTTTTCCAGTACCTCGTCTGATTCTCTTGCCAAGATTTTACCCCTTTTTCCGGATCCCGACCGGAAAAGAAAAAATTCTAATTTTGCTTGGAAACGATGTAGAATGGTCTGAAATGTAAAAATACAAAAGTTTTTGAGAATGTCTGTGCGTGGTGCCCCCTGGTCAGGGGTGATTTTTTACTTAAGGAAAAATAAAGGTGGGTAAAAAAATTCCAAAAAATTTGAAATTTTGTCAAATAGTAGGTAAGAGTTGAGACTAACTATGGAATGAAAATTCTGCTAGATCGATCAAGCCGTTTTTGAGAAATCGTGATTTGTTTATAAATCGTTTTTTCGAAATATCTCCAAAACTAATGAAGGTATTCAGTTTTTTTTTATTTCATCCTCTTCGCCATTGTTGGCTCTATTGGAATCAATCAAAAATTTGAAAGTGAACTCTGGAAAAAATCATAGTTATTGTCACTTTTATGTTTTTGAAAAAAAAATGTTGTACGCACTCTCACCCCCGCAAAATTCGAGATATCAACTTTAAATTTTGACGAGATTGTCCTTTCATCACTGCAACGGATGGTATTGAAAATGAGTAGGATTGACTGATTAGTTCCGGAGATATTCAATTTTTAGTGTAAAATGATTATGTGGAATATCTCGAAATTGACTTGACCGAATTCATTTTTTTTTATATGGAAATTTTTGTCTCGATGTCCCCTGTCATTATCATTCAAAATATATAGAGTCGCCCATACAAACTTTTCGAGATATTTAGATTTTTTCGTTTTTCAGTTCAAATTGTTGTACGCATTCTCACCCTCGCAAAAATTGAGCTATTAACTTCAAATTTGGACGAGATTGTTCTTTTATCACTGCAACGGATGGTATTAAAAATGAGCATGATTGACTGATTAGTTCCGGAGATATTCAATTTTTTGTGTAAAATGATTATGTGGAATATCTCAAAATTGACTTAACCGAATTCATTTTTTTTTATGTGAAAATGTTTGTCTCGATGTCCCCTCTCATTATCAATTAAAATATATATAGTCGCCCATACAAACTTTTCGAGATATTTCGATTTTTTCATTTTTCAGTTCAAATTGTTGTACGCATTCTCACCCTCGCAAAAATTGAGCTATTAACTTCAAATTTGGACGAGATTGTCCTTCTATCACTACAACGGATGGTATTGAAAATGAGCATAATTGACCTATTAGTTCCGGAGATATTCCATTTTTAGTGTAAAATGATTATGTGGGATATCTCAAAATTGACTTGACCGAATTCATTTTTTTTTTATGTGAAAATTTTTGTTTTGATGTCGTCTATCATACTCCATTGAAATATATATACTCGCCCATTCAAAGTTTTGGAGATATTTTGATTTTTCATTTTTGCTTCCGAATGGAATGGTTTTCAGTTGAAATCGTTGTTCGCCTTCTTATCCCCGCAAAAACTGCACTGTTAACTTTAAATTTTAACGAGATTTCACTTTTGCTTCCGAATGGAAGCATTGTTATCATTACAATGCATGGTATTCAAAATAGATGATCAATAGTACCTAGTATATGGACTAATGGTAGCACGCCTACAGATGGATTAAAAAAATTCAAAGAATTGACTTGAAATACTGAAAGAATTTATTCAAGTTTATTATTTTATATTATTCTTTAGTAACGTTCGTAATGATCGAATTGATTTTATTTATCCATCCAACTTCAGGTTGTATAGTCATTGTGCAAGTCAGAAAGAGCAATTTTGGTTTACTGTCGATTGGAAAGCCGAACTGGAAGATCTGACGATTGAATGATAATTTCAGAATTGGTTATCACTTGCTTATCATCATTGTGACTTCAGTTGAGGCGAAGGTCAGATTGATGAGCCCACGGCTCATGGTTTATTATTTCCCATATGGTTTTTAAGGTTGTATCATAATTTTTTTTTACAGTTTTCGTTAAACTTTTTATGGGGAATAGTTCGAAAAAGTAGCTACAAAATTAGTACTTTCCGTTTAGGTTGACCGTTTTGAATTTTAGATAGAAATTTTTAAAATTCGAGTGATACGTGTTTAAATGGAGTTTCACCGATTAGATTTTTTTTTAAATCAACAGCTCGACGGTCGGGACGGAATACAGAAAAAAAAATTAAATCGATTGACCATTTGGTTTACATGATATAATTATCGAAAATTCATAAATTTATATAATTGAAAATAGTTATTATGGAAAATATATAGTTATGCTTTAACTATCCATGCACAGTGCAATCAATTAAGTGAGACTATATACTGTCAAAATATTGGGTAAATGTCTATTACTGGACATTTACCAAAAATTTTATTATTTACAGAATTTCTCATACATGGCAATTCATTCAATTATTACAGACTAATTTATTTATGATGCCGAAATTGAGACGAAAAAGTGCCATGATGATATCTGGAGATTTAAAACAAAGAGTTCGCCGATTACGGATTTTACGAGAAACAGGCAAACGTAAACCAAAAAAGAACAGAGAGAATCATCTTTTAATTGAAAAAAAAAAGACGTATATTAATCATGTCACAAACGAAGATCATCATACTGAAGTGGATTGTACGGAAGATATTGAATTATCGAGTTCTACTTTACCTCTAAAAAAATAAAAAATAAAATGAAATGCGATCGAGAAACTAAGCCCTGTGGATCACTAGGAATTCAATCTTCTTCGAATAGAACTGATCATTATCACATTCGTTCTAGAGTCCCTTCATTATCGCTAGCAAAACACAATATAACAGATAATGAACATGATGAAAAAAAATCACCAATGAACCAAGAAAATGAGACGAATAGTATTACATCGACTCCAAAAAATATAATCAGAAATAGAAATCTGATGAGAATGATCCGTCAGGATAAAGAGTATGTACAACTAGAAAACTCAAAGAAAAAAAAGAAAATCATTGGAAAAAGAAAAGATTTAGACTATACCCATAATGAGAGAATTAATAATATAAAAATGAAAAAAATTTGTAGAGGAATTGAAATTCTCAAGTTTCCTGAGCGTTATAATAATATCATCAATTCAGAAATCAAGCACACTCCATCTAGAAAGAAGTACACTCTGATTAAAAATTTTATCAAGAGTTGTAAAAACTGCCCAGATGTTGTATGCACTTGCTGTAATAATTTATTCTTCGCCAAATCAACGAGAAAATATGATCGGTCTCTGTATACTCATAAGTTAAATTTGAGTGAAACTAAAATGAAGTCGTTCTTCATTAAAATTGAAAATAATCGTTCAGTACATATATGTCGTACGTGTCACAGACATATATTACAAAAGAAAATACCAGAAGCAGCTGCATATGACTTGAAATTTCCTTCGATTCCAAATGTATTAAGCAATTTATCTCCTTTGGAAGAACGCATGGTGGCACCATACGTCCCATTTATGCAAATACGCCCTTTAAAACCTCATTGTATAACGAATCCTCAGTTATCCATTCACGGTAGTGTTGTCAATGTTCAAGTAGAGATCAATGAAATGATCAGTGCGCTTCCTCGTAAATTTAATATGTCAACGCTTCAAATTCAATTTAAACGACATATGGATCATCGATCTAACTATATGTATGAGACAATCAAACCATCGAATGTATGCTCGGCTCTACATTACTTGATTAACTCACCACTTTACAAAAAGAATGGTATAACGGTTGATAAGAATTTTTTTGATAAATATGACAAAAATGATGAATTCTTATTGGATTTTACGGTTGATGGAGATATTTGTTATGAAAAAAATCTGGAAGATAAACCAAATAAAGACAATGAAAAACTCTCTGAAAGTGATGATGATCTAGAAGAAGGTGATTCTCCATATGAAGAATCTGATGATGAGGAATATGCATTATGTACGTTTCAAGATGAAGTATTAATCATTGATGAAGACTTGGAAGTGTCGATTGAAACCTGTATTATGGCGCCTTGTCAGAATAATTATCCAGTTCCTTGGCACTTGATAAATGATCTAGATGAATTATGTTTTCCGACTATTTTCGCAGGAGAAATTTTTGATCCAAATAAAAAATTGAATACTTATGGTCAACGTGCCAAACTTCTGGCGAGAAATAATGATCGAAGATCGAGTCAGCCAACACGGATATTATTCATGGCAAAACGGAAGCTAGAGGAGAGAGTCATATCGGCTGTCAACGTATGTGTGAGGAAACTGCCACAAAATAATGAGATAACTGCTGGTCAAGTTAGAAGCAAATCTTATATTAGTGATATGATTACCCAAGATGAAGGCTACTCTTTTCTGAGAAACGTAAGACCATCTCCTGCATTTTGGGAAGCGAAGAAAAAAAATCCTCGTGCAATGATTCGTCAACTGGGTACACCAACGTTGTTCATAACTCTTTCTGTATCAGAAACAAATGATCCAGAATTGATTCAATTCCTTTATGGGTTGAAAAACGATAATAACCAAATATCACTTTGTAAAGCTGCTACATTAGATAACGCAGTTAAGAATCAATTGGTGATAGACGACCCTGTATCTGTTGGGCGTTACCTTGATCATCGATTCAAGGAAGTCATAAAGCTATTGAAAAATCCTGATTGTCCTTTCCAGAAAAATTTTGTAGTCGACTATTTTACGAGGAAGGAATTCCAAGGGAGAGGAACTGTACATACACATACATTATTATGGTGTAACGATGCACCTAAGTACAATCCCGATGATGACAATTCTATCCCTCATGTGGTGAATTTCATTGATGCCTTGATATCATGTCAATGGGATCCTACAAATCCCTTCATCATGTTCCAAAAGCACAGACATACATTAACTTGTAATAAAGAAAGAAAAAATATCAAGAAATGCAGATTCAATTATCCACAATATGTCATGAAGTCGACTCAAATTTTAAAACCATTGGACCTAGATGAAAAGGAAGGTAATGAAAAGGAGAATTTGCTTAGAATAAATGACTTAATGCAAGTCTATTCTAAGAATACGACAATAATTGATTTTGCTGAAATGTTGGGAGCATTGAATTTGACAGAGCAACAATACCTCAATGCTATACGAAGTACATTAGACAAAGACAAACTTTTTATCAAAAGACAAACATGCGATGTTACAATCAACAATTATAATACAACAATTCTCAATATATTGGAAGCCAATATGGATATTCAATTCGTTCTAGACCCTTATGCTTGTGCACAGTATATAATAAATTATATTTCTAAAATTGACGTAGGAATGTCAAGATTATTACGAGAAGCAGTAAAAGACTTGAAACATGGCAATCGACCATTGCGAAAAAAATTGAGAAGATATGGAAATATATTCATCAATGGCAACATAATGTCAGCCCAAGAAGCAGTTTACCATGTATTGGAGTTGCCTCTTTGTGAATCCAGTCGATCCGTTATTTTTATCAATACTTCTCCGAAGAACCAAAGAGTAAGAATTTTTAAATCACAGAAACATCTGGTCTCATTAGATGAGGATTCCATAGATATTTACACTCAAAATATACTGGAAAAATATGAGCAAAGGATATTGACATTAGAAAATCTATGTTGGGCTGATTTTGCTGCATGTAATGTCATAAAATCGAAGATAAATGAAGAAAGAGATGATGATCATAATGGTGATGATGATAATATCGATAATCTTAACAGTAGTAGTGAAGAAGATAATGATGATTGCAATGATGAGACTGGAGGTAATGCGTATACCGCTAATTCGAGAGAAAAAGTTACGATGGAGAGGCTGAAGAGGAAGAAAGTTAAAATTATTAGATATGTTCGATACACTATACAAAGAGATGAACAAAATTATTATCGAGAACAAGTTCTCTTATTTTATCCGTGGAGGAATGAAATAACTGATATAGAGAATGTCGATTGTAAAATGATATATCAACAATACCTTGAAACAATCGAACAAAATAGAAAGAAGTATTCTATAATTGGAGATGAAGTGATTGATGAAGCTATTGAAAATGCGATGGAAGATAACCAAAAAAAACACGATGAAGAGGATTTAAAACTAAAGAAAATGAAACTGGAAAAATATCAAGAGATTGACATTTTCGGTCAGGCAGGCATCGATGATAATAATAAAAAATTTAAAATTCGATTCACTAAACCAGAAACTGGATCACAGGAGCAAATCTATGAAATGCTTGATAGTTTGAATACGTTACAGAGGGAAATCACAATGCATGTTTTTAAATGTTTTAAAATAAACCAGTTACCATTAAGAATATTTCTTAGTGGTTCAGCAGGTGTTGGAAAAACCAGAGTTATCAATTCCATCTATCGATTACTAACGTCGTATTTCGATGCGATGCCAGGTCAAAAAAATGAATTACCACATATTTTATTATGTGCTCCAAGTGGTAAAGCGGCACATTTGATCGGAGGAGTCACGCTACATACTGCCTTTGCTCTTCCAATTACTGAATTCGGAGGACAAATGCCGCAATTATCAGCAGATATTGCAAATTCGATTCGCTGTAAGCTGGTTAATTTAAAGTTGCTGATTATAGATGAAGTATCTATGGTAGGATCGAACACACTATCACGAGTGGACTCTTGGCTGCGAGAAATTTTGGGAAAAAATCGTAGTTTTGGAGGAATTTCAGTCATATTAATAGGAGATTTACATCAATTACCACCTGTCATGTATAAGGCAATTTATAATGCACCGACGTGGAGATCCTTGAATGCATTATCGGACGCAATTCTATGGGAAGAATTCCAGTTTTTCGAATTGACTGAAGTAATGAGACAGAAAAATGACAAGATATTCGTAAACGCTCTGAATAACTTAGCGTCAGGAACGATGACTGCTGATGACATAGCCTTGATCAGAACCAGAGAGGTATTACCAGATTAAGTTCCTAAAACAGCTATAAGACTGTACTATGATAATTTGAGTGTGGATAAATACAATGAATTTTGCATAAAAAATCATCCTGGCGAACGGTATAATGTTATAGCCAAGGACGACTTCTTGGGAGAAGCGTCTGAAATCCAAAAACGAAAGATCCTCAAATCTCTCAGAAATAACAATACAAACAAGAAAGAATTAAAACTTCTTCGATACAAAGTAAAGCTCAAAATTGGTATTCAATACATGATCACATCCAACATCAATATTTCAGACGGGATTGTTAATGGTGCTTGGGGTAAATTGGAAAAAATCACTTTTACCGGTAATATGCAAGTAGATAAATTATGGATAAATTTCGAAAACCCAATCATTGGATTGAAGCAAAGAGAACCATTTTTGAATTATATGACGGAGAATGAAATTGAAGTTCATTTGACACCCATTCAAAGGATAAGCTTGAAAATTTCCAGCAATAAGGGTAGTATCTACCAGGTGATAAGAACACAGTTTCCAGTAGTTCCTGCAGAAGCAATGACTATTCATAAGAGTCAAGGACAAACATACAACGAAGTCTGTATCAACTTGACTGCGAATTCTCAACCGTTGACTCGACCATTGCTTTACGTCGCCTGTAGCAGAGTATGCAGTTTGAAAAACCTCTACATTCTAGGAAGATTTCATCCACCATCAAAGCCACCTGCAAATGATCCGCTAACACGAGAATATGCGAGATTGAATAAGAAAAGGCCAACGTTATCATACGTGAATAGATTCAATACCAATGGGATAAAAATAATTTATCAAAACATACGATCGTTTAATACAAATGCGAAACATCTAGAATCTGATAAGTGGTATAAACAAGCAGATTGTATAATATTGTCTGAAACACTAACAAAGCTTGACGATGATATAACCCTTACGGATTTCTGTTTGATCTTTCGAACTGATTCACATATCAAATTGCCAGGAAGGGGTATCCTGATATTCATAAGAAATGATACTGATATTAGATATTCTATTTTGAAACATACCAAATTGGAGGACCAAAACAAATCTCACTTGGATTTGATTCTTCTCAAATGTAACGATGTAAAGATATTAACTGGATATAAGTCACCATCGTACAGTAATTTAACTTTCATTGAAAGTTTACATGATGCATTCAAGGCAATGAGCGCGTACTCAAGACGCATATTGATAGGTGATTTTAATAATGATTTATTTCATCCTGGAAGGATTTTTGAAGAACAATTGAATTATTCCAATTTTGTACGCGGAATACCATCTCAAACATCAACGACTAATTTTAACACGCAGATCGATATTGTATTTGTCAGCAATGTGAGTCATTTCATCTCTGGCGCCTATGAAACATACTTTTCAAATCACAAACCGATTTTTATCGCTTTATATGATGCCAATGATGAACTTGATGAGCAATGTAATAATATCACCGCCTTAGACGTTCATGGAACAATTCTAAGACATCAACGAAAAAATACTTCAATGAACCCTCAAACATCGAAGAAACCCTCAATAATTGCGGACGAAATACTTTCTCAGGCCAAAAAGATTAAATTATACACTAATAAAGATCAAGAAAAAAAAGAAATTATCAATAAAAATATGAAAATTCTCTTAAATGGGAATATAACCGGCATCATTCATCGACCAAGTGATTCAGTGCACTTACGTAATACTTGTGGCTTCGATAGTTTGATGCAAATTTTCATTTCAACATATGAAAACAATCGAATTATCAAAAATTGGATAGATAATTCAGAGCGAAAAACATTTAATTTTATAAAACAAATGCATCAAGTAGACAATCTTGATTTATCAATTTATGAGATGCGTTTAGATATTTTTCTTCAATATGAAGCATATTACATTAAAAAAGAAGAATCAGATGTAAAAAATATAGTCTTAGATGCTGGTGAAAATATAATCCTTCTATGTAAGGCACTTTTCAATGGAGAATGGAGTTATTCCATACATTTAAACTGTCCTATTTGTTCTGATGTAATAATCAACGAACTAATAATCATTCCTGATGATGATGCAATATTTGAACATGGTTATAGCCATCTTCTGACTCTTTTACATATAACGATTGAAAAAATTGAGAATGAGATTCGTACATGTACAAAGAACCATTCTACTTCAAATCAATCAATTGTATTCCATGAATGTCTTTTCATTGAATGTCCTACATATCATAATTTGCAAGTTCCGTTAAATAATTTACCGAAAAGATTTAATATAAAAAATGTAAACTATGAATTAGTTGGAGTAATGAATTTTAACAACCCTGAGGTTTTTAATGATGACGCTCTTGGTCATTACAATGCTTATCTTCTCAAATGTGATGAATGGACTAGAGTTGACGATTTGATAGCTAATTACACAATTAAAATAGATAATAGGGAAAAAATTAGCCCACATTTATGTATTTATGTTAAAGTGGATAGTTCCTAAATATTTTAATTATGAAATGATTAAATAATTATTTTCAAGTTCATACTACTTTTCAGATTGGTTCGTTCTTTTCAAATGTTTTTATTATAGCCTACAATCATTTTGCTAAGTGACAAAAAAAATGATTATAAAAACAAGCTTGATAGCTTGGAACAAGCGGTGACATAATAAGCTCCTCATATTCCTGTAAGAAAGTCCAAAAAATTTGAAGGAAAAGCTGACCAAATGCTGAGGATCTTCGTCAGCATGGGCAAAATTCAAGACCCTGAAGATTTGGTGAGAAAGAGAATTGCGGCTGTAGCTGTCAATGACGTTATTGTTGAGAGCAATATTTATAACGAATCGAAGAGACTGCTGCAGGTTGATGACAAGCGGTTGAAGGCAGAAAGAATTCCTTGAACGACGAGATGAGGGTAGTACTAGTGTTAGAGAGAAAATTGACTTTATTGTCAATTCGTATTGAGTGAGGGAAACCCTTACTAACCCTCACAGAAAATAATATATTAAAATGAAAAAAAGGACATATGAAACATCTAGTATGTCATATATAACAATAAAAATTGTAATCATCACAGGTAAAACTCAAAATCGATCTATAGCTGAAAATTTTCGCAACCGAGCTATTTCACGAATGGTACAAAGAAAATATAAACTAACTGAATAGTTTCGCAACCCCAAATTCTATCAGATGTGAACATTCGTCCTTAATACCTCCAGTTCCGAAAGAAGTAAAACCTCTGAAAGTACGTACCTACAGATCCTGTTCCAAGAGATGGCTGAGGAGGTCGAGTAGCGCCTAGCGAAGGAGGCTTTTTCTATAGTTGTTCGAAACCGAGTTCTCGAATTCTCCTCAAAGCCAACAGAAGTCAACAGAAGAGCTTGGAGCTCTTTGCAAGAGTCGTGGAGTAATGGGATTTTTCTTATTAAAAGTTATTGAAATTTGGTAATGGTTTTTTGTGACATCCAATAATGAAAGTTGCAAATTTTGAGTGTGTAACACATTGAACACAAAATTTTACCCATGTAAATTCTGTGGAAGTAAAAGCCATCCAATGACTTTGAAGTGCCAGTGAAGACATTTAAATTTTACCGCAATCTGCTCTTATAGGCTTCCTAGGGAAGAGCCTACAGAACCTCAGGGAAATTGTGAGAAGTGTAACGAATTTTTAGGGAGACTCGAATACATAGAGAATTTCTGGAATGGAAATGAAGTGTAGAAGCCGGAGAAAGTATACACAGAAGATTTTTTTATTTTAATTAATTATAAATTAAATGATTCTTTTTTTATTTTAGAAAAGTAGTGAATAATTTAAATAAAAAAAAAACTACTCTTAAACTAAAAATAGAGAAAAGATTAATTTCTTATTAAAGAAATTTTTTTCAGATTAATCAAATTTAAGGAATTGGAATTCATAATTCGTAATCATCACCAGTGACTAAGTTCATTTCATTTTCCAAATCCTTATAGTAAGTACTCATTACAGTAAGAATAATAAATAATAATTTGCTCAGAAACAAATGCGAAACAGATTGATGTTTTCATAACCATGATGATGACGCAAGAGGAATCAATTGATCGTTAGTACTCGTAATTTGAAAGTTATATATCGAGAATGAAATTTAAAATAAAATTAATTATCTCTTTAGTTTTGAATGATGGATGGGATGCGCCGTTGATTAAAGCTTTGGAGGATTATGAGAAACAAGAAAAAATACATGAAAATAGCAGAAGAACTTCTAGAAAAAAAAAAGGTACAGAAAATTATACCCATAAAAAAATGATATTATTTTTCATTCCAATGAAAATAATGTTCTCATAACGAAAGATGAAATCAGAGATTCTTACTCACGTGCTTATCAATCTCATCTTCAGCTAGGATCGTAATTTAGCGCATGTTAAGGATCCTTTATTTCAGCTTTATATAGACCGATTGTATCAGGCTTTAGAGAGGAAAACCGTTTTCAAAAATAAAAATAGAGAAATTTGGAAATAAGATGTTTTTTTGCCAAGGTTATATTCAAAATTTTTTTCGTAACATTTTTTTTTCATTTGTTTTTTATTTTACTTTTTTTTTATTGAAAAGAGGGGAGAACCATCTTTTTGATTTTTTTTCCAATATACAATCAGATCACGATCCGTTAACCCATAAGTATTAGACTGGGATAAAGTCATCCAGAGCTTCAAATAGATATTAAGACTTGATTCAATCGGACATCATTTAGAAAAGAATAATAAATTGAAGTATGATGGATATGGTCTTAACTTTTTAGGGAACAAGATGAGAGTATTATCGGAGATGTGAAAAAAGAAAATAGATCCGGCTAAGAAGATGAAAATAATTAAAAATTGGAAAAATTGAATGTTCAAAGAAGATTAAAATAACGAAATTATTTTTAATTAATGGAAAATTGATTTGGAATAAAAATAAATTTCAATAAAAATGTCAAAAATGTCATTAAGTTGCTCTTTTTGAAAAAAAAAGTTAGCGATCTACATTGAAATGGTATCTGGTTGTAATATT